GATTTTCTGAAGTTGGTCAATAGAATTACCGCTTCTTTTCCAGCTTGGAGGGGAGATAAGTTGTTCTTTGGCAACAGAAAAAGCTAAATGAGAAGGGAAATGCTTCTTTTCCAGTAAAGACAGACACGACAAAAATAAATTGATGTGGTGCCTGGATTGCAGCAACCATTAGAGCACTTCGGGGACAAAACAAAGGAAAAGGTGACTGTAGACTATGCTGGATAAAAGATTTTAGGTGAAGGTCACACACACACACAAAACGGAATTATAGAATTACATCTTTTTTTCTTATTTTCCATTGAATTTTTTTTTTTCTGGGGAACAATCTGTCAGTGGAGATGAGCCCTCAGCTTTCATCTTTTTGAGTCATTATATAGATACAGTAAAAGACTGTAGAAGAGAAGCAAGCTGTTAGATCATATAGGTACGGTCACAGAAATGTAGGATCTGGTCCACTAAATAAGTGAGCTCAACAGGGAAAACCCAGCATGATTTTTTTCAGGTTTTATTTCTTCCATCTTAAGCTTTTAATGTTTAGTTGCTATTGTTTCTTGTCTATAAGGCTGAGCAAAGGCCTCAGTGAGACTTGAAGTCTCTGTAGAATTTCCTGCTGGCTGCTAAACTGAGTATAAGTACAATATTCCCAGGCTTATCCAGCTCTGCTTTAGAATCCATTTGTAATCCACACAAGAGCAGTAAGGAAGAAACATATACCGTATTATTACTAGGATAATTGCTGTCTGGCTAATCGCACATTTCATTGCTGCTGGGCCTCTTTTCTTATTAGCTGTGAATGTTTACAATTTCGAGTGATTTTGTAAGTCCTTCTTGACTCATCTAGCCCCTCTGCAGAACTGACAGTCGTCCTTGACTTTAAAGCATGATATATTCTGCTTCATTTACAATACATCCAAATCCACTCTAAAAAGGCTTTCCATTTCTTGGTGAGGTGCCAGTGATTCTGAACAGTCAGTTCCTGCCAGCTATTACTATTGTCAATAGCTGACTTTCGGGAGGAAAGGCATGGTATGAGGCTTTGAAGTAGTTGATGAGCTATGCTCAAGTGACCGCTGCTAGCTATATGACTGTAGCTTGGATTTGTTGTACCCATGTACTTCTCATTCCAGTACAAAGTCAAAGAAAGAGATCTGAGAAATGTCTGTTCATCTGCAGAAGCTGAAAACAAGGTCTGTGTTCTGTTGCTTAGTTCTATGGCTGACCAAAAAGCTATATATGATTACCTCACTTCCAAGACCAGACAAAAGGGGGTTAAAAAAAGAAATAATAAGATACACTTTTATCCTTAAAAAAAAACCAACATCTCTAGTAGGTTTCATATACCTCAGTATTTTCTGTTTTCCATAGCTGCATGCCTTTTACTCTTTTCTTTCTTTGCTTTCTTGTTTTTAACCTCCAAAGACAGAAATTTAAAAGGATTCATTAGTAGATGAAGTGCTGTATTTTTGTGAAAACTAAGTTGCAGTTTGCTGCAGTTTGTTGTAGTTTGGCAGGGTTTTTAGCTGTCAGTAAATGCAAGTTCAATTTTTTGGCTATTCCTGATTTGGAAAGGGGACAGCAGCTGTTACACCACATCTATGACCATCCTCCAGCACACCAGGAGCTCATATTTCCTCTTTCCTGAGGATAGCAGACACTGTGTTGCTTGCCTTGCCCCTCCTTTTACTGCCCCTTTACTCATAAATCTGCACCCATCAATGCCTGAAACCCAGCAATCTTGCCTCTCAGGTGGGTCCCCTAATCACCAGTCTGGAAGATTCTCTGATTCTTACTTTCTAGATCAATAAATGTTTAATAATTTTAAAACTGCAAAGTCTCCATCTTTAAAGGTACTTTTTGCAAGCAACACTGCAGCTGCAGGTTGGTACATGCTTTCCAAAGACAGGACACCACAGGATCTATTCCAGTACCAGTTTCCATATTAGAAAATGGTGCCCCCCCCCCCGATTCCTACTTTGTATCTATTATACACCTCTACAGATATCGGGGGGTCTCTCTCAAATATCTGATATGGGTCAAGACACCTAGACGTAGGCACCTGAAACACTTCCTTAAACACATACAGCACTTTTCTGCTGGATGTAACTACCAATCAAAGAAGGGAATGTTAAAATCTTCTTATAATGAATATGGAGACAAATATAATGATTCACCATCCCACAAGATTGCTCTTATCACTGTACTATAAGAACAAGCCTTTCCTTTCCTCTTTCTTTGCCTTTTCTTGCCCTGCTCTGCTCTGCCCTACCGTGTCCTTCCTCTCCCTTCTCTCTTTTCCTGTCTTTTCTCAAACCAGGGCTCAGACATTAGAGTGTTCACCCAGAACTGTCACATTCTTTTTGCATGGAAAGGGTGAATAAAGAGTGTAATCAAACTTATTTTCATTCAGACATCATTGATATTTTTAGCTTGGCAGCCATCCTCACTAGCTGCAAGCATGCCTGTAATGGAAGATGCTTCACTAATAATCCTGACACATTTCCCATCTCCTTAATTGCATCTAAATTTGTGCTATAGCACTAATTACTCAATAGTGGGGAATTTACCTATAGTTCAGGCAATGTGATAAACATTCCCAAATTTTGGTATCCCAGGCTGCCCTTCCATCTAGATGGAGCAGAGCAGAAATCTCTACTGGAAACTCTTCAGATAAGGTTTGTCTTTAAACTCATGAATTTTGAATGTTTAAATGCCTTGCTGGTTTGAAAACAAACAGTAACAAGCAAAGCAAATGCATTCCTGAGAGGAGGCGTGTCTGTGAGTACTCTGACACTGAAAATGTAAACTTCACATCTCATCTTTGTCCTTTCTACATATCTCTTGTACATACGAAATCCTACATTTTAATGGCACTAAGCTGTTTCACCATTTTCCTTTTACCTCCTTTCAGGATCTAAGGGCTTGTCTATTTTTGTGTCTCTTTTACTCCCATCTTGTCAATGCTATCCTCCTCTACTGGCAGTATTAATTCAGAGCCCTTTGACAGGATGCTCTAAAGATGTGGATGTCAGGGAAAACTGAAGCATCACCATAGCATTATGCAAAAATGTCTATTGTAATATAAATCCCTATGCCACAGCAATTTTAGCTTCTCTTTTAGTCACTTATACAAGACATGCTATAATCATAGTGAAGGCATTACTTATTGTTGCACTGATAGATTCCATACAATCAGTTCATTGTAAAATATGATGAAAATCAAGTTTTATTCTACCAATTCAGCATTACATGACAATTGAGCCACTGCTCCCTTAAATCCTCCACAATTCTCAATCCTTTCTTTTCCTGCTGGCTGAATCTGCTTTTCCCACAGGTTTTGAGATGCAGCCAAGTTTCATCGACAGTCCTTCTCAGGAGCTATTCTCCATCTGACTAACAGAGCATCAGCTGGCTCCCTGACCCTTACACAAGGAATTCCCCCGATGGATCTGAAAGAATGAGTCACACAAAAAATCCAAGCCATCATAAAACAATGTTCCTTTTTTTCCTTCTGAACAGACAGCACACACCACAGGTGCCAAGCTGGAGAAGTCTTCTCTAAGAAGCAATGTCTTCCTCTTTGGCAAGCTGCATATGCTGCTGTTCTGGCACCACAGCAGCCACAGCTGGCTTTCACACAGTGCTGCAAAGCCCCTGCCTGCTGGCCTCATTCAGCCCTCCACCTGAGATTTCCCATCTATCTTCCCAAGGCTGAATTTTTAAGATACCAGATCAAGACACCTCTTATAATATTTCACCCTGAAAAAAACTTTTTTGTAATATTCCTGGCCTCATTTCAGGGAAAGAATTGGCTTTTGTAGGGTCTGTCCTTTGGCTTCAGGAAGACAGAGAGCTGTTTTCCAGCACCGTTAAGCCAAGACTTTTTGTGATGCTAAGCAACTCTTTCATACTGACCAGTGCTAACATGGAAAAGTTTCAGAATAGCAGTACAAAGCACTTTTAATGAACATGCAAATGCAGTATGACAAATGGAACCTGTTGAAGACACAGACACCTATTTGGAACGATATCTTTGTAAAACAAACCAGACCATCTTGTAACAATTTATACTGTTTGATGGTAGCACACTACAAAGTCCATGTACATCTTTTATCAAAAAAAACAATAAAATGTCATGTTTATTTGTTTATTTTTCTGACTGTCCTCAGTTAATTTTCAAATCCTTCAATGGGGTTGACCTAACTTACAAAGTCACTTCCTTGCTATGTGATTATGATAGCCTACAATTCTTTTTCTTTTTCTCTGCAATAGGTACTAAGCCCGAAACACAGATGGTTCAGAACGTGCAGGCAGTATGCTTTTACAAGGAACTCTGTCTACATAAATACATGTTTCCTATGAAACAACTCATATTTTCTATGAAACAACTTAACACTAAGAACAGATGCCAGGTAGAATGATTAAAGCAATGTGTGGATTCTCCAGGTCTTCTCCTTAGCTCCCCCATAGAACTGAGGGACACTACAGCATTCCTCAGCGACTCTGTCCTACTTTTCCATCAAAATATTCACTTCATTTAGTATAATTACATAATCCACTATCAGCCATTAAAATTCCAAATCTTATCATATCATATTATCATATCATACTTTGCATATTAAACACATACAGGAAAATCTCTGCAGCTTTTCCTACATCCTTTATTTTCAGCAAGTGATTTATAGAATGTTTTTTAAGATATTATTACTATAAAGTCAGGATAAAAAATGTATTTAACATTTAACAGTAATGGTGAAGTTTGAGGTCATTCTGATCTATCATGGAAGCAAGTTCTAAAATCATGGCTTTCTGTACATAAACTTCACTTTGGAGATTAACAATTGCATTGTTATAGCCATGGGATATCACAACCACATAGCAAGCAAGTGACTTTGTAATTTAGGTCAACCCCATTGAAGGATTTTAAGATTAATTGAGGACAGTCAGAACATTGTCTTTGGGTGTTCTTTTTTCTTATACTGCAAGTTGAAATGTGAAATCAATCATCCAGACAAATCCCACATTGGGGTGTAATTTAAACTAACAAATCCTTCAAAAGCCATGAATTCTTCTGTCACACTAGTGCTACCTGATGCTTTAAGTTGATGCTGCAACAAGAAAAGTAAAGGCATAAATGAGAACTAGTATGACATTGTGAACCCACAGTATTTGTGTTTATAGTATCGCCAAGACATGCCAGCAATGTATGCTTTTGTTTTAAAAGTTAGTAATTTTGAAATCATCTACATAAGGACTTTCACAGCTGGTTCATGAAGAATATTTGTAGTTGGAAATGAAATCCAGTATATTTGTATAATCTAGGTCAAATCACAATCCCTTGCATCAGGAAGAAGATATCAACTGCAGACTTTGTTCTCAAGCTAAAGACAACATTATGTTCTAGCCTCATTTATGAGGGGAAAAAAATCCAGTCCTAAAAGGAACACATTTGCAAAGCCACTGAAATGAAACGTACTCTAGTAAAGGGAAAAAAAAACAAAACACTCAAGCTTTTTTTAAACAGAAGAGTAAGCTGAAAATCTTCTAACAAGCTCTACCTGACACCATTTTGTCTCAAGTATTTAAGACTTCGATAACCTGATGATACTGCTGTATCATTCCAACAAAAAATACATTTCTTTGGGGCTATATTTTAATGGGGAGGAAAAAAAAGAAAGCTTTAATGTTTTGACTTTTATCGAGATCAAATTAAATTACAGAAGGAGACACCATATGTCCAGAAATCTTGAATGATTGTTGGGGAAAAAAAGGCATTTCTTTCAAGCTGAGTGACAGGTTGTAGGAGGTTGAATAACATGGTCAAACATTCAGAGTTCGGTTGGCTGAAAGAGAGAACGACATTATCAGAGAAAAAAATCTTTCTTTCCCATCACATTTAATTAACTCAGAACACTTCATGAAATACTGTGACTTGGCAGCATGACTTGAAATTGATAGAAACATAGCTTTTTTAAAGTCTGGCTGCGTTTTTGTAGTACAGGTCCATAGTTACCAGTTTACAATCAAAATGACAGAATTTAGCTTTTATTTATAGCCAGTTTAAAAATAGCAAGCCAAATTCTGGTACTCTCTTGCCATGCCTCTTATATGAATAACGCAGGACCCAGAACATCTCCCTGAGATATTCCTTTTAAGCACAACATGGAGATATTCCTTTTACACAGCAGAGGGTCAACACATACAGTCCTAATCTGCCTTTGTACCATCCCAGTAGAGGTCATCAGTGGGAGAATGGGAGACTTTCAGCTTGTGAAACCCTCTGAGCTACCCTGGATTGCCTGGGGTCTAGGCATCTAGGACTCTCAGAGTCCTACAAACTGTAAGGATAGAGCAACCATGTACTGCTACTTCCCCAGAATACTCTTCAGAAATCTGAGCTTTAAGAACTTTCAAAATCCAGAAGTGCTTTTAAGCAAATGACCTAGAATGACATCTCTTTCCATGATTCTTCTCTCATGGTTTGAACCCATGCAAGGACTACACTTGGATTTTGAAAATAATATAGCTGTGAATTCTGTTCTGGTGATACAGCCTTGCGAGCAAGTGCAAATGGCTCCAAGCTACTCTCCAGTATGTAACAAGAGCCACTAAGTTCTCCCAAATGTGAAACCATAGCCAGACCAGGAATACCTAGGAAACTCAGAACACTTGCCTTCTGAGCTGGACTGCAAAACCCAGAGCAGGCTGAATAGGTTTTTGAACAATATGGTCCAGAACACAGAATATACAGAAATTTGATCTGCATCAGCAGTTAAACAGTAAAGCAGAAGACTGAAAAGAGGACTATAATAATTTGCTATTTTCAGCAGAGAAGCACTCAGGAGGCTGGGTAATACTGACAATGACCCGGGATGCCATGCTAATAAAGGAAAAGGATGTTCTTTCCGCCTGTACCAGATGGCTATGGGACCAAAAAGTCTTGTGTAATTCTTTATAGAAGAAAAAAAAAAAACATGGCCAGAGAAGCCCACCGCCCACTTTCAAATATGTCTTCACATGTAACACTGGTTTTCTGTAATTCACTTAAAGCAAGGTGTTTGCTTTACAGTGTGGTACGTGCTCATGTTTGCTCTTCAATATACTAATGTAAGTGCAGTAAGCCACCCTTTTTACCTAAGCTTGATTTACATGGCAAGCTAATGTCATGTTTGCTTCTGCTAAAAGACTAGTTCTTTAACAATATAGTGCCTCATACATGTTCATCAATGAAACAAGAGGGGTGGGGAGGTTGTTGTTTTTCCTTTCCTTGTAAAAGACAGAAAGAGTGGAATTCATCTAACAAAATGCATATGTGTACAATGTAGGTGTCGCTCCCTTTTGTAATCAGTGGAGAAAAATAAGCACTTAATGTATATCATTCATTTTACCCAAGTCTAAAACAGATGAGGTGCCCCTTAAATATGTTTGTTTTTTTTTCTCTCCACTGAGCCTTTTTCAGAGTGCTTTCATTAAATACTGTGCTGATTATTCTGTAAAATCTTCTGTGTGACTCTGATGGTTTTTTTCCTCTTTTTCCTCTTAGCTTGTTGCCTTCTGCTGTCCAGTGCCCTTTTTTTTTGCTGTTATTTGTTGCTACAATTTATCACATCAGATCACAGCTCTGTTTGAAAATTTGTCCCCTGTTATGGGTACTGGTGTTTTTTGAAAGGATGTCTTAAGGCACAACTAGGCCATTGCTGTCCTACGTCTAATTCCATATGCAGTTAAATACTCTAGAGGATATTAAGTAATACAAAAAAAAAAAAAAGCCTATTTATTAAATATATTAGCTATGTGATTTGTAGTCGCAATGAAGCTTGACTTAACAGAATTAACTACAAATATCTAAATAATTAGTGTTTAATATTTGTACCACAGTTTCAGAGAACTTGATTTTGGTCAAAGCTTAATTTACTGGTTGTCTAGTGTACATGAAGGTTTAATAGCTTCTTTAAGCCTGGGACATGAGGCACCAGGAGCCTATTCTGTCGAATGCATCAGTTGTTTAGGTAATACCATTCACTCCTGAAGTCTAATAAATCCCACATGGAACAGATGAAGGAGAAAAAGGGAGATTATATTTAAATTAAGGAAAGCCTAAGTAAATCAGTATCTTCTCTTAGCAGGAAGCAAATAGGCATTTTAATTCCCTGGAAAATTTCCTTTAAAAAATAACATGCTATCAAAACCAGATTTAATGCTAAATATTTTGAGACTGTCTGACATACTTGGAATAATAAATTAGTTGGATATTCTGTCTCCTGCACTCACTTCCCCTCTGCCCTATAGATCCCTTTGACTGACTGTCATTTTGGATGCTGACAAGAGGTATTAAATGAGGAGTATACTCATCACAGATTGTTTGCAGAGTAAAATACACCCTTATTTTCTGCAGAGCTGAATAGTGAAATGGGTTTGCATTGCAGGTCTTTGAGGTCTAAAGATGCTGCTCCACATTCTCAATTCTAAGGAAAAAGTACCACCATAGGTATTCACAGAGCTTGAAGCTTTTTCAGTAACTTTTAGTGATTCTGCTCTTCAACACCTTTCTCAGCCATGGCTCTCAAACACTTCTTTTTTTTCAGTAGAATCGTTACAGCTCTATGTACCAATAGTGCTTTTATTTCCTATGAATGTACTATTCCTGTAATACACATGAAATTCCAAGCAGAAATCTAAAACACCTATTGGCAAATTGACAGTACTGAATGTGTGCATTTACAAATAGATATTTTTGCTAACAATCTAGGATTCAATTGTAGCTTGGTCACAAACCCTCAACATGAAAAAGCACATATTTGCAGCTGCTGCCAGAGCAGAATAGAAACCAAATTGCTGGCAATTTGGAGTCCTGATCCTGCTGTTAGCTTCCCTTTTGTCTTAGAAAAGACAAAGCATGGGACTAAACACTTTTCTAGTTTATGTTCTTGGTTCAATGTTGCTGAAAACACTGAAAGCCTAGAATTGACTCACAAAATTCAAACCAAAGCTATGGGTCAGGATGAATCCTTCCAAAAAAGGAATAATGGGAAGCAGAGAAGTGATTTCCGAGGACAGTTTCTTCTATCTTTTGACTTTATAGAGAATATGATTGTGCAGAGAGGTTCTCCCTTTCCATGGATACCAAGGTCCTCCTTCGCTTTGTAGACTGGGAGCTACCAGAAAAAAACCCAAAGTAAATACAGACAAATGCTGATGCAGCTTGTACACAGAAAAAAACATAATCTGCACCAATAAATCTGTATAGATTTTACATGTCTTCATGGACAAATAATTCAACATAGGTGCTCATTGTATTTTTGTGACAAAACCAGGCTAATACAATCTTTAGATCTTTAATAAATGAGTGCATTGAAATGACTTGACTTACATACAAATTTAATGAAACACTGTGTACAGCTCTGGTATGCTTGTTTTAAAGGAGATTTTGCACAAGTTGCAGCATAACAGATTTTGGAGTATTCTGAATTGAGCTATTAAAAATGCATAACAGGAAATTATACTATTTGCTTGTCTTCAAAGCTGAAAATGGACAGAAAACAATTGTTTTATATAACAAAACCCTCTCTCGTTAGGGCTTTTATTCAGAAATCTAGGTAGTAAATGCTGCTCACAATTCTGAAAGCCTGAGACAGGCGAGGAAATATCTGACATACGTAGCAATGACAAGTTCTAGATCTCAACTGTTTTCAGCCTTGTGGTGATACAAAGATGACTAAAATGTGTGGAAAAGGATGTTTGTAACTATAACAATTCCACAGTTCTAATACATGGAGTAAGTTCCATAAGCTAGTAAGCTTCAGATGCAGCTCAGCAACACCAGCCATGGCAACATGAGTGACATCCTTAATTTTTTAATATGTTAGGAAGCTTTGAAGACTAGACAAAAATCCCCTGAGTGGCCATCTAAAAGAATGGAATCTACTTTATCATAAAGATATAGTGATAGGTTTAAGCACCTAAATATTCTTGTGGACTGAAAATACTACAATGGACAACAATACAATAAGTATGAATGGCTAGAAACCAAAGCCAGACAGGTCCAAATTCAAAAATAAGCATAAATTTACACACTTAGTAATCAATCATTGGAACAGACAATCAGAAG